GTCAGCGCGCCGCGTGGGGGCCTTTGCGGATTAAGGGACCTCCGCGGCCCCGCGCAGAGCGCTCTGTCACTGATGACGAAGGGGCCACACCGGCCCGCGCCATCCCCCGTGCCTCAGTTTCCCCATCTGTGAGGCTCACGGTGTAATCAGGGACCTCCGTTTTAAAATCGCCCACTTTCTTTTTCTTCCTTCCCCTCTCACCCCTTCATCCCGTCCCTCTCTGGACACTGCACCTCTCTGCGCATTCCAGAGGGGATCCTCATCCTGAAACAATTTCCGGCGCGGAGCCCCAGCTGAATCCTCCTGCTTAGAGGGGGTTGCCAACAATTAGTCCAACATCCTCGCCAGCCACCCCTCCTAACCGACAACTGCCCACGACAGCCATGGGAACAAGACACAGACCCTCCCCTACCCCACTCCCCACGGCGCCCATGGCAAGTTTCCCTAGAAGAACCCGATGGCAGCCTGGGCAACATAGAGAGACCCCCTCTCTACAAAAAATCATTTTAAAAAATTAGCTGGCCGTGGTGGTGCACCTGTAGAGGCTGAGGCAAGAGGATCGTTTGAGCTCCGGGCTGCAGTGAGCCGTGATCATACCACTGCACTCCAGCCTGGACGACAAAGTGAGATCTTGCCTCAAAAATGAACAAACACAAAAACCTGAGGGTAAATTTTTAATTTTAAGATGGCGTTTTTTATTTCTTTGTTTGTTTTTTGGAGATAGAGTCTCACTCTATACTCCAGGCTGGAGTCAGTGGCTCACTGCAACCTCCACCTCCCAGTTCAAGTGATTCTCATGCCTCAGCTTCCAGTAGCTGGGGTTACAGGCACCCGCCACCACGCCTGGCTCATTTGTGTAATTTTAGTAGAGACGGGGTTTCTCCATGTTGGCCAGGCTGGTCTCAGACTCCTGACCTCAGGTGATCCACCTGCCTTGGCCTCCCAAAGTGCTGGAATTACAGGCATGAGCCACCGCACCCAGCCAAGGTGACACTTTAGAACGCTAGTTGGGCATCTTCTCACTTTACTGGGTCTCCGATTAAAACCTGCTTTTTCCTCCCACCAATCCTGACTGCACCACTGCACTCCAGCCTGGGCGAAAGAATGAGACTTTGTCTCTAAACAGTTAATTTCAACTGTTTCTTTTGACTTTTTCAATATGACTAGTCGAAATGTTTAAATGACTTGCATGGCTCACATTGGTGGCTTGCATGATTTTTCTGTGGGACAGTGCTGTCTCCGTGATCACAGTCTGTCTCTACCAGCTGCTAGCAGCAGGTACACGTAAGCCCTTGGAGCTTTGCCTCTTGCCCATGTAACAGTGCTGGGCCGGAGTGCTGCTCAGCAGGGTGCCCTCCTCCGCTCTGCCATTTTCACCCCATGGCTTTAGAGGGCACCCAAAGAATCATCTCCATCCCAGGCAGCAGAAAGCAGGAAGGAGCCTGGAGGGGGAGGTTGTTATTGGCTGGGCTTAGAAATGGCACACACGCTTCTCACACTTCATGTGCTGTGTATGCTTGCCAGGCTGTTGAGACATAGGACCCCAGACCAGAGGGGTTAAACATGTGGATGAAAAGAGTCAAACTCTGTAAAATATTTGAAGAGATTTATTCTGAGCCAAATATAAGTGGCCATGGTTTCACTTACGTCCATGTGAAGAGACCATCAAACAGACTTTGTGTGAGCAATAAAGCTTTTTAATTACCTGGGTGCAGCCGGGAGGAGTCCGAAAAGACAGTCAGTGAAGGGAGATAGGGGTGGGGCCGTGTTACAGGATTTGGGTAGGTAGTTGAAAATTACGGTCAAAGGGGGTGTTCTCTTGTGGGCAGGGGCAGGGTCACAAGGTGCTCAGTGAGCCAGGATGAGCCAGGAGAAGGAATTTCACAAGGTAATGTCATCAGTTAAGGCAGGAACAGGC